GTTTCTCCTTAAACTTATGGAATTTTTAAAAACAAGTAATATAATGTAAAACGTCATATGAGCTATTTACACAATTATTAATGATACTGTATTTTGACGTCACGTCTGACTCAATTTGATAGCTAATTTCCGCTGACGATGAACGATTTTGGTGCGGAAAAAGGAAATGGATCATGTTTCGTTTTAATGAAATGATTCAAAACGACTATCAGTTTCTGTGACATATTTGTTTGTAAGAGACAACAAATATTATATCCTGCCTAAAAGATCTGATTTAAACAAATATAAATAGTTTTGGATTAAATAAAATATAATATATATTTAATTTATTATCTGTAGTATGATCTCAAGGTTTTTGTGATTAAGATCCCTTAGCTCATTCTTAAAACAAGTGTTAACCCATTGATTAATCACTTTTTTCGAATTTCCCTTCTCTTGTGATAAGAATGAAAACAAAAACAGCGCAATAAATATTTACATACATATATCGACAATCTGAATTTCGCTGGCTGACTAAGTCGATCGTCAAGTTACTCCCCTTGCTAATCCCCCACCCCTATATCACACCCCCCTATATCAGACATCACACCAACCACATTCATTCGCCTCACTTGATATGCAAATGTGCTGGCCAAAAACAACGATAATAAAATGCAACAAAGTGAAAAAAACAACATTTTGTAATTTGTAATGCTTGTTAATGTTTTTGCTTTTGCTTTTGTATTTGTTATTGGTACATTGCTGGTGCTTTTTATCTGGTGATATTTCCTGGTCCGATTTCCAGCAAATCAACAAAACAGAGACAAAGCGAGAGGGAGAAGCTTATCGCAATTATTAAAATACAATGTCAAAATGGCCAAAGCTCGAGATTATCTTTTCCAATTGAAATGGACAGCAGAGCCACAGAGGCGGGGAGCCAAAGGGGGTTTGCAACCTGAGCCCTGGCTTTTTATCGCGGCTGCAACTGCAGCTCTTCGAATGCAAACTGCAATTGCAATACGCAGTTAGCTAGCTTCTCCTATCGCTCCGAACTCAGCTCTCTGCTCCATAGACCCCCTCTATAAAGACCCCTCTTCTCGCTGAAAAGCGAAGCGAACCGCTTGACACGTACCCGCGCCGATTTCAGATATGAGAAAGAGGGCTCAGAGTAGTAAACTCGGGGCAGAAAAGAGCCAGCATGAGAAAGATACACTGAAATAAATTTACAGATAAATTCTACAACCTACAAAAGTTAGTTGAAAGAGTAGAAAAACTTCAAATTATAATAAGGTAAGTTGAAAGATTTAATATATTTTAAAAACTGTTGTAATTTACATTAAGGCAACAAAATGATTATAATTTTTTCCAGTGCATTAGAGCTGGGCCCGCTTCAAATCGAGTCAAACTCAAACTTGACTTGACTTTTGGCTAAATTGTCACCCGCATGGGGATGACTATGCCGATGGGCCGTTTACTTTGTTTTTGCTGCTGCCACCGTAGAACAACCGACAACGAAACGGAACAACAAAACAACAGACAACCAACAGCTGGCCATTAACATAAAATTAGTGATAAGCGTAATTAAAATTTATAAAAAACAAAAACGAAAGACAACCCACAAAAGTGCTTATCTATGTGCGACTGCACTCCCTCAGGTCTCGAAACTCTTAAAAGGTATGAGATAGGAATCGAGAGCAGGTGGGACTTGGTTCTAGATATAATACCCTACAAAGCACGAAAGAATATTATGAAGGGATTATGTAAAGGTCTCTATATTTCTATTGTAGTAAAATAACCATATTTCCTAATTTCGATTTCAGATTTTTATATCAAACTGTGATAGATCCTTGATCCTTCGTCAAAAATTCGACCTTTTCTTTATTGTTCTACTTTTTCAAGGGAAGTTTATATCATTATAAGAAAGGGGTCTTCAGGGATTCCAAAGCTAACTTACCTAATTTCAAAAATGTAGAAAACCCATTTGAAGGGTATTTGGAAAACGAGCCCGAGGGCGTTGTCATCACGATTCCTACGCTTCGAGTTCGAGACTATAGTACAGACTATCCGATACAAATGCCAGTTATTGAAGCTTATGTAAAGGCAACAATAACAACGCCTGGAGAACCTCCGACAAAAGCTACGCAAGTTGATGTTATTCTTGTTGTTGTTGTGGCTGCCTCTGCTGCTGCAATTGTGATAAAACTTTATCGAGTTGCGCTTTCAGTTTTTTCAGTTCTCGCCTTCGAAAATCCAACTCCCAACGCCCACAAATGCTATAGAAAATAGAAAATAGAAAACAACGGGACAGAAGTGAAGCAAGTGTGCAAGAGATAAATATGCAAAGCACAAATGCTAGTGAGATGGGTGGGGGGGTTTTGGATAGTTACCCAGGGGTAACCCACTGATAGTGCAGGTGAAACAACAACAACAACAACTATAACAGACATCAGCAACAACAACAACGGACAACAGCTGCACAGATAAGAATACCCTAAATTATCGTAACGCAAATGGTAAAGTTTTTCGTTATCCATTCTTCTCGGTACCCTATAAATAGTTTAAAGTCCGGAGCTTAAAAGGTCTTGGTAACTATTCGAGTATAAATAGACATTTAAATTGATTTTAAAGAACTTAAAGTTCTGAGCTTAATAGGTCTTTGCAACTATTCAGGTATAAATAGATTTTTAAATAGATTTCAAGGAATTATGGAATGTTCATTAAGGATTATAGTCTTTGGGACTTCATAAATAGTTTAAAGTTGTAAACTCAATAGGTACTGGTAACCATTCGAGTATAAATAGATTTTTAAAAAGATTCCAATAAATTTCCTTTCGTTATCTAGTAATTGGAACCCTAAAAATAGTTTAAAGTGGTAAACTTGGCAACTTTAAATAGATTCAAAAAAGAAAAGGAATTTCGTTATCCATCTTTGGGCACTACATAAATAGTTTTACTATAAGTAAGTGCAATATAATCTCAATGAGTCAGGGTAGCTTTGTAATTGGAAATATATTTTGAATTAGTTCTTACGGAATTTTAAGCATTACCGATTGCAATCTTCGGAAGTTCAAGAATAACTAACTACTTATATTTATTAAAATTCATAACAATATTTTATTATCGCATTCTTTATAGAGTGTATCAAGAATAACTAACTACTTATATTTATTAATATTCATAACAATATTTTATTATCGCATTCTTTATAGAGTGTATCAAACGCTCCGTTGGCCCCGGCTCAAGATATAGATTCTTGGTCGCTTACTGTGGAGGTTCCACTTTCATGACTCGGCCTGATATCACTCGTTGGGTATTTGTTGGATTGTGGGACTGGATGGAAATGGGGGTTCTGTTGGGTGTTGTTGGGTGGGGCAGAGTCAACCAGTCGAGAAACGTGCTTGGAGCAGAAGCAGCGACAGCGATAAGGAGTCCAAAATGGCAAAATGGATAAGCGGAAAACCGGTGACTTCAGGGAGGGTCGGAAACTGGGGTGGAAGGTGAGTTCAGGTGTTCGGGGTGCTCGGGGTGTCCAGTGTCGCAGGTCCGGCACGTTTTATCGATTTCGATTCCGAAATGCATTCATTGGGTGTCAAATGGTTCGGGGCCATAAATATATCAAATGGCAAACAACGAAATGTAATTAGTTAATACTCTCCACACTCTTCGAAACACTCGTTCTTCTCCACTCCGCTCCACTCGCCTCCCCGACAATATTTATAAGGTGTGTCAGCTGCACGTACAACAGGTATCGACAATATCGATAACGAGACGGCAAAGAAATTTCATTCAAATGAGCAACAAAATATTTTTGTATTACCATATTCCTATTTTTTACATCCCCTAAAGTAGAGAAAATAAATCTATTATATGCAATCAAAAAATCTTTAAAATCCCAACCACATGATATAATGATCTTCAGTTCCCTGTCGATAAATATCTTTTCCGAGAAGTTGTTTATTATCAGAATCTATATAAATCATTTTAATATCGGTTTTCTTATAGTCGCAAAAACTTGACTTTATCGTTCTCACTTGTTTTGTTATTTATTATACCCGTTACTCGTAGAGTAAAAGGGTATATTAGATTCGTGCAAAAGTATGTAACAGGTAGAAGGAAGCGTTTCCGACCCTATAAACTATATATATTCTTGAACGGGATCACTAGCCGAGTCGATCTAGCCATGTCCGTCTGTCCGTCTGTCTGTCCGTCTGTCTGTCTGTCTGTCTGTCTGTCTGTCTGTCTGTCTGTCTGTCTGTCTGTATGAACGCTGAGATCTCGGAAACTATAAAAGCTAGAAGATTGACATTTTGCATGCAGATTCTAGGAGTTCCTACGCAGCGCAAGTTTGTTTCAAAAGGGTGCCACGCCCCCTCTAACGCCCACAATCGCTTATATACGATTTTAAAAATTTCAATATTTTGGAAAAGTAAAAATGCAGTTTTATTGTGTTTATCAATACCTATCGAAATGTAGAAGAAATTTTTTAAATCGGACCATTCGTTAAAAAGTTACGGCGGATCAAAGTTTTTCTCCATCTCTTTCGCACTCCCTTTAGCTGAGTAACGGGTATCTGATAGTCGGGGCACCCGACTATAGCGTTCTCTCTTGTTTTTTTGTTGTTTTTGGCTGCTTTGTCTTGGCATAGTTTATCAGTTTCTTGGTTTTCTGTGTTTGCTGTGTGTTCGCTCACATGTTTTGCTGTCCAAAAAACGAGAGCTGCTGACCAAGCGAGCGAATTTGAATGGGTCAGCTGGCGGGCAGGTGGGAAACGCTACTGTTCTTTATAGAAGAATTTATCGAAATACAATCCCGCTTTGTGATATCTGATAACTTAAAGGGTGATCAAAATCTTAGGATTATATATACAATTCTCTGAAAGTTCTTCTTTTTAAATTTCTTTAATTTTATCTCACGATTAAAACTAATTTGGGAAAATATATATTGTCGCATTTAAGATCAAAATAAGCCTATAAAAATGTACATGATCGTTTTCAAGATCCGAAACCTTTAGAAATACTCACCTTTATTCAACGGCTTGGGGTTGGACTGTTTGCGTCGTGACATTTCGAGTCCAGCTGCGGGACTGGAGATATATCTTCAGCTACGTCGGCATCAAGTCCGCGGAAGATCCAGATCCGTTTCGATTTTCGCGTACATTTACCGGCGGATGCGATCGCACTCACACACAGGCACTACTCACTCTCTCACACACACGGCGAGTATCAATTATGGGCAATCGATGCGATTACTTGGATTATTTGTATTATTTGTATTATTGGCGGCGATTAACAAGCCTTAATGAATTTTTAACGATCGGCGCGGCGGAAAACGCGCGCGATTTCGAAGTGTGGAATTCCGATTGGAATGCAGCAGCGGGCCAGTAATCTCCAATTCGATCTACGAGTCCCATCAATATCTGATCAGAGTTTTGCTCTTGATATTGCAATTAGTTTCTGGGAGATTTCGAAGCAAGTTAATAAGGATCCATCTTTTTAGAACCAATTGCAAAATTATACAAATTACGAATTTGCGTCCGTTTCGAGAGCTTGTCGTCGCAGCTGTGCGAGCGAGTCTTTTTGACAACGCGACGAGTCGAGAGCTGAAAGCAAAGTGGGGCCAGTGGGGCTAAAACGAATTGATTGGGTCTGTTTTGGTGAGTGGTTCGACTGAGAGCTGCGAGAAATAAGAGAGTTTCAGTCGCTCTTTCATGAATCGGGGGTGGTTCGTACCGCAGAGTGAGAATTCTCTTCAAAGACCTGTTACTCATCACGTAACGGACTTGGATGGAATCGAATACGAATCCCCGATTGCAACTGTTTCAGGAGACAGCGATCTTTTACGATCGAAAGTTTTGGGTTTTGCTTTAGAAAAACTGAAGCAAATCCGCAAAATCTACAAAATCCACGCATTTTCTAAGACCAACCATTGACCAATAGAATTCCAATTACCAATAAAAATAATAAAAAACCCTCTTGCCGGTGACCTAAAATCAAATAGTTGGAATAAACAAAAATAAAGTTGGAATAACACTAGGCGTATGCGCAATTTTTGGACTACGTTCTCAAAACGTAAGTGTCAGTTATACGTAAGTGTAAGTAATACGTAACACGTAACTCAGAGAGGAAGAAGTCGACAGAGCAGCAAAGAGCGAGAGCACGAGAGATTGCCAAAGAGAGCCGAAGCTCCAAGACCTAAAACGAAAGCTCCAATTAGGGAAAAGAGCGAAATAGAGAGAACCTTTCTCTCTTATTGGAGCGCGCGCAATGCTCTTTCTCGCTCTTTCCATTTTGTTTTGTACTCGGTTTTTCATCGCTCCGCTTGCTTTGAAGTCTGCTTCGTAGTCTGATAAGAATCAAAACAAAAACGCCGAAACATTTTTACGCACGTTTCTTATTGGAAATTCAACTAACGCTTTTCACGGTTTTTTTTACTTTAGAAGCGATTTCTTCGGGATTTACGATACTATGATAGTACAACTTTACATTTATCACACTTTTTCTCTTATTTACAAGCTAATTTCTTTATTTTTTATTAATTTCTGGTTTTCTTTTGCACTTTTTGGCTCCAACTGATGGGAAAAGGCGTTAGGAAATCGTATTTTTATATTACGCATTTTTGAGAAAATCTCTTAAAGAAGTTATATTTTAAACCGCCAGGTTGCGCTTTAGTTGCAGTTAGTACAGAATACTTTTAGGCTTTCCGAATAGAGGGCGACACTTAAGGGCGCTTAAATTAAAAGGAAGTACAAATATCTTTTTTAACCACAATTTATGTTTGTTTCTTGCATCAAAAATAAATAAATAATTACCGCGACGTCCGCAGAATTCTATTTCCGGTGTGAGAAACATTTCACCATTTTCAGCATTTTATTTAGCTGCACTTCCGCTTCTTTTTTATGGGTAATTTTTTACTTCACCTTTCTTTTTGTCTTGTAATTTGCACCTATTGCCTGGTTTTAATGGGATATTCCTCCTGCTTTGCATTGGACACTCATAGATTTAAAAAATTCCGACAGCGGCGGAAATGAAAAGCTTCCTGCGGGACAAACTCAATGTTGAAATGGGGTGATGGGTTATGGGTGGGGATGGGTTTCTAAGGGCAGCATGCAAATGGGGATGCATGGCAATAAATATCAGAAACCAGTTAGCGGGCCATAATCCACGCTAACATATGGCCGAGTCGATTAGCCACGCGACCTCCACGGGGCTTCCTCCCCCCTTCCCCTTCCCGCCTCCTTGGGTCATTTGCGGTCTCCTTTCATTCCTTTTCTCACCCATTTTTTTAAGCACCTTCTTTCTTTAATCGCTAATGAAGTATACGCATCGTTGACCTTCGCAACGTTCATTAAACTTTGTCGCTGTCTTTTTAGGCAATCCCCAATCGCTTTTTTGTCTGTTCTCAATGCAATTCGGCAATCGCCCAACAAACCTATAAATAAAGGGGAAAAAATCAAAACAGGTAACAATGCAGCATCGAGAAATTATCGAGGTTGTCTAGATTTACTTAACGAAAAACCGTTTTAAAATAAAATATAATATCTTGTGTGCCTAAATTTTTTATTATTTTAATAAATTAAATACTAATTAAACGTCTTGAAAGAAACTTTAATATATAATTGATCCTATAAAATTATATCATATTACATATGAAGAAACAGCAAGCATTTCGTTACACGTGCCATGTTATAATAGATACATCTAACATTAAAAAAATCATTTAAAAAATACAGAATGACGACAATTGGTTGGGAAACACTTTCTAAATATGGCGCTACCAAAACTAATAGCCTTCACTTAAGCTGAAAACGAAGATCTTGTTAGAGAGGCGCCGGAAAAAACGCCAAATAGCCATAACTAATATTCCGGGGGATCCCAGTCGATTTAGCTTGAAGTCATATGCCATAATGAGTGTGCTGCTTCTTTGTTAGTAACATCGATATACCCAATAGGTCGTAGAGTGCTTTACCGAATTTTTGCTTTTCATTTTTGCAAACACAACAACCTTAAAAAACGCAATATACACATACAATCCGTAACCGAGTCGGCCTCCTCTGTAATCATAGTGCATTACACTCGACTGGAGGCCTGATGGTGATATTGGGATATTGGGATGTTCTGATATTCAGATATTCAGATACTGGGAGGCGAGGTGAGCAACTTCCAGGTCAAGCAACTTCTGGCGGCAAGGCCATGCCCGTGACTGAAATGGAAATGGAAATGACAGCCGCGAAAAAATAAAACAAAACAAAACAAGACGAAAATTAACCGAATATCTGCCGAAATTTTATTTGGCGGGGGAAGCGAATATCATTGACCCAAGGTGCAGTTACCTTGCGTGTTCGTTTCGAGTTTTCGATTTTTCGAGTGCAATGATCCGGTCGGAAACGACGCGTTTCCAACCCTGGGAGATGCGACCTTACCCTGAACGGAAGAATTTATAGACTATATGCCTATATGGGAAATGGGGGTCAATACACTGAGCCAGTAAATAGAGTTACTATGCTAAAAATTTTAATAATTAAGATACTATTTATATAAGGACAGACTTTTTCTTAGTAATAATTTAATGGAACATTTTCTTAGAAATATAGATTTTAAAAGATTTTCCTAAATTAAAATGGAAATTTAAGTGATTAAATTATAGTTAAGGTATCAACTAATTTTACGCCACCTCTCTATAAGCATTTACAATCTAATCAAAGGTTTCTTGTAATAATCAAAATAGGAAATGTATTTAAACAATCGTTAAAATAGCTCAAAGGCCAAGCGATTAAAAAATGCTCTTTGATTTCATCAAGAACTTTGGATGACCATAAGAAAACCATAATTCTAGCAAATTAACGATGTCAACCTTAAAGATTAAAAAGTGGATGGTAAAGATTTCACCTATAAATACCATTGAAAGTTCATTGAATGGTGAAAATAATTTCTAAATAGTATACAATATTTTTTGTTGTGCAGTCCGTTCTCTTGCAAGTTGCAACCTCTTTTTTTTCCCCCAATCGAATCTCTTTCGATCGACTTCTCTTCTCACTTTTTTTCTGATGCTGACTGGGCTCCTTGCATAAATTAAAACAGCTGATGAAATTTGCCAAGTTCGTCGCATAAGCGAGCTAAAAAACCAAACAAACTGTTTCCCAAGCGGAGATAAAATTATTCACTTATTTTTGAGTTAAAAAGCTTCTTTGTTTTTGGTCTTTTCTTCGCCGCTGCCGCTGCATTTGCCGTTATATTGACGACGCCCACAAAATTCACTGCATTCGATCAAAGTCCACTTGGCCTGACCCGCCCCCCTTTTTCCCCCGATATTTGGGTGTACAATGGATATTTTTAGTATTCGGTAATAACAACAAATGCAATAGAATTCCCCCTCTCACTTTCGCACTCTCGGCGGCTCTCTCTTTCTCGCTAAATAGTCGCTGCTAATTGGGGGACTCTGCCATTGCGGTAGGTTCGTCCCATGTGGCGTATACATAATGTCGAATGCTACCCGCTATTTTTCAAATGACCATGGGATAGGTTTAAATATACATAAGTGGCTATGCATCTGGTACCGAATAATTGAGGCATTTAATTTGTGTAAAAATAAAAACGAAACTAATTAAGAGGAACGTAAGGTAAACTGTCGGTTCAGATTCACAAAAGTGACAAATACGAAAAAGGGCTAATACATATTAATATCTAAGAGTTGGAAACATTTAGTGTTTCCGAAATAATCATAAAAATATAAGAGTATATTTTAATAAGAAATTTTGGCAATTTAAAAAAACTCGTAAAGTACTTAAGTGCTTAAAAAGAAACCTATAAAATATTAAAAATATAAATAACCAATGAAGGGAATATTTAACAACAGATATTGGAATACAAAAGGATTTCCAGCAACATCTGCGATAAATCAACCCACTGATTGACCTGAATTAATTCAGTATTGGGCATTCCCAACCTTAGACCCCTTGGATGTGTGTCTTTTCCCCTGATCCACTTTCCCATATGATCAGTTCACCCTCGGCGGGGCGCTTATCTCGAGTCGAATGCGAATTCGCCGCTTCTATTTATAGCGATTCCAACCGAAGTTGCTTGACCAGACAAAAGAGGAAGATGATGAAATATGTGTGTGATGTGCTCGGTCTGAAATTGCTCACTTTGGCGATTACTTTGCCGATTACCAGTGGTATTTCGGTACTTCACCCACAAGTGGAACTAGTAAGTCGGATTTTTGGCGACCTTTGCGCCTCCTTCGTTTATTCAGGGTCACCTTTGAAGTCACCTTCACCTTCTGCACATCGATCATTCGCCTCACGCATGTATTATTTGCACCGAACCACAAAGTTATAGGTATAGGTGAACCCTAAAGAGAGAGAGAGAGAAAGACGGACTACAAAAGAGAGGGAGATAGTGACTCAAGTAATGTCATTCCAAAGTTCAAACTCGCCCAAGACGTGCTTCAGTAGTTGAACAGTGATTTCATAAGTGCTGAGCTCGCATTTATGAACACCTCTTAAACTGCCAGGTTATATATATTACCCCGACCCAATCTAATTATTACCGCTTGTCCGTTCGTTTGTCCGTTAAAGAGAACAAAGGTCAGGATCTCAAGAACTATAAA